TAGTATACATGCCAAATCCAGAACCTCGCTCCGTTCGATGATAGTATTTCGCACAACAACTCGGCAGCTTAAAAAGCGCGATCTGGATCTTGTAGAACCCGGTTCTACTCGTAGAATCCACAAACCTTGGTGGTTGCCATAGTTAGGGTTGTTCGAGTGTGTGACACCAAATAAGGAAACGAATGTCCCTTTATCTCACGTTTTCCCCCTGAATGTTCCTGATTGAAGAGTCAAAGGCAGAGTCACCCGATTTCTTTCTAATTCAAGGCCTCTTCTAATCGGTGATAGAAGTAAAGTCAAGGTCCGTGCCACTGTTAGGCAACACGCCTACACCTGTAATAGTACTACCTTGTTTCCAGGGCATCTACGATGCCTTTTCTGTATGCCTACTGTCCGTGGATCTGGATGTCCACCAATCACCAATGCCGCCCATCCTAAGCCACACATGACATAGCTTGTACACGGCATTGGCAGGAACAGACGTAGTACCGGAGATGTGATGTCCTTGGTGAATGTTTGTTAACTATGTCTATGTGTAGCACCGTGCATGTCCTGTGTACCCCGATCTGTCGGGGGTTGACAGTTTGTGCTGTGTGCACGGAATAGGATTCTTCATAATTATCTAACGTACTTCATAGACGTTTTTGTCCTTGGTAACTGAGTAGCGTGTAGTACCAAAGGAGCTTTTTATAGATATTACATATTTTGCCTCCATTTCAGTATCATTTTCCCTAAATGACCTTCTTTGGACTTGATTACCCTACTGGCACCTCCAAACACTTGCACTTATGCCACCAGAGATATGGCAACATTTATATTGGCATTTTTATGGGGTAGTGGCGCCACTTCAATTAGTGTTTCTAGGTCGCGCCATTTTTTGATGGTGTATAAGGTTGGATGCCGTTATGTAGGTGCCGTCGGATCAGTTGGGGTCGGCGCTGCGGTATCTTATACTAATACATATATATACTCGGTGTGTGATAGAAGCTGGTGCTAGCCTAGATAGTTGGCTGCCCCGCAAACTGTACAGATATGCCACTTTGGAGCAACCAACATGTATATATGTGTCGTTAATTTCCATCAACACATAAGAAGGCAATACTTGAGCTCAAGAAGCAAGCAGGTTTCCCCTTCGTGTAGGATATTTTTTTTTCCGAGCCACAGGGCACAAGGCCCTTGTTCCATTGCATTTTGCATGAAACATCATACAGTGTACAGCACCTTACCATAAAATTAAACATTGCTAACGCAGCACCTGAGTTAATTCTATCCAAAACATTCAACAGCCACATGCATAAACATGTCCTCTGTACCCCGATCTGTCAGGAGTTGACAGTTTGTGCTATGTGCACATAATAGGATTCTGCATAATTATCTAAAATAATTCATAAACGTCTTATCTAAAGTACCAAAGGAGCCTTTTATAGATATTACATCATTTGCCTCCATTTCGGTATTATTTCTAAATGGCCTTTGTTTAGACTTAACTACCCTACTGGCCCCTCCAAACACTTATTTGCACTTCTGCCCCCAGATATATGACGCCATTTATATTGGCAATTTTAGGGGGGGAGTGGTGCCACTTTGATTGGTGTTTCTAGGTCGCACCATCTTTGATGGCATATAAGGTCAGATGCCGTTATCTAGGTGGGGCTGACGCTGCGGTATTGTATATTAATAGAGATACTCAATGTTAGAAGCTGGTGCTAGGCTAGATGGTTGGCTGCTCGCAAAGTGTACATTGTGGGTTCGAATTCTCACCCCCCCCCCCCTTTCTTTAATGTGTCAGTTTGGAGCAACCAGCATGTAATATGTCTCGTTAATTTCCATCAACACATAGAGGAGGCGATACTTCAGCTCAAGTAGCAAGTTGTTTTCTCTTATTGTAGTTTTTTTTTCTGAGCCACAGGGCACAAAGCCCTCGTCCCATTGCATTGTGCATAAAACATCATACAGTGTACATCACCTTACTACAAAATTAAATACCGCTGATGCAGAACCTGAAATTAATTCTATGATTCTATCCAAAACATTCAACAGCCACACAGGTATAAACATGACCACCCTGTAGGATTTATTACGCTCTATTTTATTCGTCCGGTCATCATGCCATAAATGAGCATACGTACAAGGCAGACACACAAACTGGAGTCGTCCATTGATGGGCTTGGTTACTTGGACACCAAAAGGGACCCAGCAAAATCAACTGGAGAGAGAGGTACATTACAGATTACACACAGATGTTTATGATAAAATAGTGAAAAATACACTGGTAGCGTTGATTAATGATGCAGATGTTTCTCCCTGGTTCCCGCCATCTTCGCGGCTATAGCAGAGTATCATAACACTTGGGAGGACAAATTTGGCCACAAGCACGTCCCCAACCTCGAACCCGTTCACGAAATCATGCCTTCTAAATATCTACATGCTGGACATGCTTAAGATCGATGGAGAAAAACACTGCATCAAGAGAACATTTTCTTTTCTCGTTCAAGAGATAACGATCGATGCGATCTGAGCACACTTTGTATTTCTTAGCTTGAAATAAAATAGCGAAGGAGAGATGAGGAGTGCACGTCTAGTAGTAGGAACAAACACAAAGCTGCAACAGTTTTTCTCTTCTTATAGAATTTATTTATTAACTTAAAGCACAAAGAAAATCGGAAAAAGGAAAAGAAGAAACCTAGCCAGGAAAACACAAAGCGACAGCAGTTTTTCTCTTCTTATAGAGTTTATTTATTACCTTAAAAGACCAAGGAAATCGGAAAATAAGAAGCCTAGCCAGGAAGAAAATAAGAAAATCGGAACAGGGAATACAAAGATGGTTAGCCAGGATTCGAACCCATGACCGGTGAATAGCTAAAACAGCCAACTGTCCACGCTAGCGGTGTCTTGTCTCGTGTGTCTCGGTGGTGTACATATCTTGGACTGCATGATGGCGTCTGAGTTCTGACCGTGTACTCCATCGAGGCTGGTACGACCTAGAAACAACAATCAAAATGCACCCGCCCCCCTCCCCAAAAAAAAGGCCAATATAAATGGCGCCATATCCCCGAGGGCCAGAAGTGTAAAATGACTGTTTGGAGGGGCCAGCAGGGTACTAAAGTCTAAACGAACGTCATTTAGAAGAAAAAAAAAATCTCCTTTTCACACTTTTGACCTGTCGAACCATGCATATTTCTGCTGGATGGGGGGTTATCTGGAAATTGTCCGTGATGCTTTTCCAAGGAAGTTGCTACTGGAACGTATAAATGTGGAAGTGTTCGATATGATTGTCCACATTATCCCTGTCTTTCAGTTTCTATCTCTGGCAGTGAATCTTTTTTTTTTGTTACGTCGTATCTACTCTCCTTTACCATGAATAGATAACAGAATTTTTCCAGAAAGAACTCTAACCTCTAAATTCTTTTCCTCCCTTTACTGGAACTGTCGTCTAAACAAATGAATTTTAACATTTGTAGAATTATTTACATCATGAATTTGATTTAAGGACATGAGGGGACATCTGAGGAGTTTACATTATTTTGATACGGAGGTAATACTAGATAGATCATTCAGTAGTCGCAAAAAAGAAAAGGTTGAGCATTCAGGTAGATATAAAATGTCTGTGCAAAGAAATTATCATTTCTCTCTTCCATGCTGGATTCTTCAAGGAGTTATGGCAGGCTGTGGTCTTTACTCCGTCATACCAATGATTGGCTATAGAAACAGGGAGATTTCAGTGAAGTCCTGAAATTGGTCATCATGATGAATTTGTACCAATGTCCACCAGATTATGATCAGACTGATCTGGTCTGTTATTCACAATCATGTTTCTTCACAGTATACCAATCGAAAACAAAAGAGGTTCGAAGATTTAGAAGTCACTCTTCTGTTTCCAGCCATGTTTATTTTAGATGTTAGGCTAAAAGTTCTAACAAAATAACCATGATAAGTGATCTAGCATCCTTTGGGGAAGAAGTTTATGGATTTGATCATTAGCATGCTACGCTACAGGTTGAAATTAATTATCTCTGATGTATATTGTGTTTTGTGTATATGACACAGGATGAATTGAATGAGCTTGAAACCATGGAACCTGCATCTGCGGCATGCCGGGAGTAAGTAATTTCAAGTATATCGCATATGTTTCCCGTGCTCTTGCATTCCAGTTTGTGATTGTTTTTCCTCTTGACTAAGCCAGGGTGATCACAAGTACTGAAGGACAACCTGACCCGCTTCTTCCAATGTAAGTGCCACCACATCTTATTCTTGCCAGTATCTCACCCTAGGAAATCTGACCGTATGAGCACACACACAAAGTGTAACACGGTCGCATTTTTGCAGCACAAGTAGCCCGGAGAACTCTTCATGGGACAGGTGGTTCCAGCGCGTGCGAAGCTCTCGCAGCAACAAATGGTGGCAATCCAAAGGCTCCGATTTTGCCTAGCTTTCGCCGAAGCTGAGACAAGCTGTGTGCAGATTGAATCGACCCCAATCCGTATGGTCCATCGTTGGCCTGGCAACAGAATACAACCCAGTTTTCTTGAGAATCGTTGTGTATGTAATCCCTAACAAAAACATGAATATATCCTCATTAGTCCTGATTGCTGTCCAGAAAATAGTCCTGTAATTCATCTCCCTCAGGTGCTGACTAGCTATGTTCGATTCTGGTGGTCTTGGAGCAAAATGGTCCTGTACTTTTGGGCAAGTTTGTTGACCTTTGAGCAAAATTTCTCATGTGCATCTAATTTTGTCGAAAATTGCGGAAGCACCGCCTTTCGTTCGATTTGGCTAGTTGTGTTTATTCAGTGATGAATGATATCTCCAAACATGATTGTGTAAAATATTGGGTCCACGATCTCTCACTGTCGTGTGGGGACCGCATGTAAGAGTACACCCGAAGCATCTCTCGCTGTCATGTGGGACCAGCTTGCAGGAGGGTCTACTTGGATCATGAGCGCCATCATCCATCCACATCCACTCTTCGATTCTCCGCTTCTCGCCAACCTCAACCCGCCATGGCCTCCACCGTGGCCTTCACCCCCGCCGTCGCCGTCGGCGCCAATGTGCAGCACTCTCGGAGGACCTCTTCGCTGCGGCCCGTCCCGAGAGCCAGGCCCGTGGCCGCGAGGGCCAGCGCCGAGCGGGACGGGGCCGCGGCGGCCGTCCAGGCGCGGTCGGGGCGGACCATCGAGGAGTGCGAGGCGGACGCCGTCGACGGGAAGTTCCCCGCCGCGCCGCCGCCGACCAGGCCGCAGGCGCCCAACGGCACCCCGGAGATCAGGCCCCTCGTACGTCACATCCCCTCTCATCCGGGCATTTGCCCAAGTTCCAATCGCTGTGCTGAATTGTGGCCATGTGGGTGTTTGTTTGATGTGTGTGTGCAGGACATGGCGAAGCGCCCTCGCCGGAACCGGAGGTCGCCGGCGCTCCGGGCAGCGTTCCAGGAGACCAGCATTACCCCCGCGAACCTCGTCCTCCCTCTGTTCATCCACGAAGGTTGGTGATTGGGATACTGAAACATGGTTGGTGCAAGCAACTGAGATTGGTGGGTACAGTTTGGTTGATTGGTAGTTTGGTACTGATGTGCAGGTGAAGAAGACACTCCCATTGGAGCTATGCCTGGGTGCTTCAGGCTTGGATGGAGGCACGGGCTTCTGGAAGAGGTACCGAGCTTACCGCAGTTTACATGATTCGGTGCCATTGGAGCTATGCCTGAATTATGATACATTAGGTGATTTTCTGTAGTAAGGACATTGCTGTCCATATAACTTCAATATCACCATACTAGAAACAGTGCATGTATATCCATACGAGTTTACGACGATAGTTAATAATGCGCTGGAAAATTAGCAACTATTGTCACACCCTCTTGTTCAAGTCTTAGTTAGCTACATCTATCTTCAGGAAGAAATCAGTTTTGTTGAACTGCTATTATTCACAGGTGTACAAGTCACGCGATGTTGGTGTTAACAGCTTTGTGCTATTTCCAAAGGTTCCTGATGGATTAAAGGTTTTGCCAGAAACATAAGTTTTTTTCGTCTAATTGAATTGCATAGATCATATGGAATAACATAGACGTCCTTTGTCCATCAGACGCAAACTGGAGATGAGGCATATAATGATAATGGTTTAGTGCCGCGAACAATCCGTCTGCTCAAGGATAAGTACCCTGACATTGTGAGTCATGTGTTACATTTGATAATCATTGTCACATTACATCATTTATGCCAAATGCTAACATGTTCGCTTCTCACCATACTACCTGTTTAGGTTATCTACACTGATGTTGCTTTGGATCCGTATTCTTCTGATGGTCATGATGGCATTGTGAGGGAAGATGGTTAGAATTTATTCCTTGCAGATTTGCTCCCAGAGAGATAATATTTGAAGTTTACTTCCATTCATTGCTTCAGTTCAGTGTGATATCCTGAGAATTTTACTTTGCATATGCTAACAATCTAATCATATTAATATAACACTCATTGCTTAATACTGCTACTGTTGTAGACTTGTAGTGCCATACTGATTAAAGAAAACTTTATTTCTTCTATCGAGACCAAGAGAGCATACCTGATTTGGAAGAATGTTGAGAAAAAGTAGTGTTGTATAGGCTTTACAGGCATATGAGCCCGTTAGATCATGCTTGAGTTGCACTGTTAGAGTATACCTGATTTTTTTTACATTATGTTGGATGATGTTACCGGAGGCTGCAGTTATTACTTTTTAATCATAGTTTGTGTGATTGATATTGATTTATACTTTCCGAAGTAAGCAGCTTTGGAGGAGTTTTGTGACTGATAAATGAGTTCCATCAAAGTTCAACTAGATGCTGTTTGTATAGAAATGAAAGGAATAGAACATCAATCTGTTACTTCTGACCATGTAGATTATGGGAAAAAATTGCTCGTTTCCCCCCTGTTTACATATGAGCTGAGGGCACCCCCTGTTTACATATGAGCTGAGGGCATTAAATTCCACAACGGAGATGTTTGCATGCCAAGTCAATTGGATGTGCATTCCAGTTTAGTATTTCGTACCAATAAAAGTATGTTGGTAGAAATGTGCTCTTTTTCTCGATAATGGCACTCATTAATAACCATGTTTCCATTGGCCTTTTATCCCACTGCAGGAGTCATCATGAACGATGAAACAGTCCATCAGCTGTGCAAGCAGGCAGTTTCCCAGGTTCCCTTTCCTGAATCGGCCTTGTAGTCATGGGCCTCCTGGCTTAGTATACCTTTGAGTACATACTTATAGGAAACTTTGCTGTTGCTAAATAGGCTCGAGCTGGTGCTGATGTTGTCAGTCCTAGTGACATGATGGATGGTCGTGTTGGAGCAATTCGGGCTGCTTTAGATGCGGAGGGTTTCCATGATGTCTCCATCATGTCCTACACTGCCAAGTACATACCTGTCCTGAAATAGAACCTACTGTTGTCTTATTATATTTGATAATTTTCTTCTCCCCTTGACTACAAATTGCAAGTAGGATCATGTGTATGATGTATAAGCTATGATATTGCAGGTATGCTAGTTCATTTTATGGTCCATTCCGTGAAGCTTTGGATTCAAATCCACGATTTGGAGACAAGAAGACGTATGTACCTAACCTTAAAACTTGTAGTTACATCCAGTGTATAATTTAAAATCATTATATCTAAGTGACCTAGTACACGCTTTGTTGATTCTCAAGTTATCAGATGAACCCAGCCAATTACAGAGAAGCCCTTATAGAAACTGCAGCAGATGAAGCAGAAGGAGCAGACATTCTTCTGGTAATTCTGTTACTTTGTATACAGAGTGCTCGATCATCAAAGTCTTTGTTTGTTTCCTTGCTTGTGTAGCGTACTAAAAGCTATGTTATCATTTGTCAGGTGAAACCTGGATTACCATACCTGGATATTATCCGACTTCTACGGGATAATTCAGCCCTGCCGATTGCTGCATACCAGGTTAGTTTGCAAGCTTTTTTACCTGCAACCACATCTTCCATATTTCACGTGAAAGCAGAAACCATTTTCTTAGCGTCAGGTACAATGTTGTTGATGAAGCCATTTTCAGGGCCACATGTACTGCATAGTGCCACCTAGATTCGTCTTGTTATTTTCTCTTTACCCAGAAGGAGATTTAGGTTCATGTGTAACAAAAGGACTGGCGGCCAAATGATCTTTAGCAATAAGCAAAGCAGACATTTTCGATATCGTTTTCTCAGAAATAGCTTCTGGCCTCCCCTTGAACCCTGTCCCTGTCTATAACACCACCCTGAAACTGATCTCCAATATGAATGCTCCGGAGAATCCCCTTGAATCTGTTTTGCACGTCCTCCAATGCGTATCGCCTGCCTGACCCTACTACACGTGATCATTTGAGATGCACTAGTAATCTGTCAAACAGATCAATGCCACTTATTTCGACGCATTTGTTTGTAACCGCATGATGGTTGCTGTGTTCAGGTGTCGGGCGAGTACTCGATGATCAAGGCCGGCGGCGTGCTGAAGATGGTGGACGAGGAGAAGGTGATGATGGAGTCGCTGCTGTGCCTGCGGCGCGCCGGCGCCGACATCATCCTCACCTACTTCGCCCGCCAGGCCGCCAACGTCCTCTGCGGCAGCAAGCGGCCGTAGCTCATCACGGAAGTCGATTTCTTGTAGTAGTAGCACCATGGCCATGGCGCTTCACTGCATTGCAGAGTATGTGGCGCGGCACGGCCATGCTCTCCGGTAGATAGAGGTTTGTCACCGGCTTCGGTTTGGTGTAATTAACGAGGCTTTATTTTTAACTGATTTTAGGGGTGGTTTTTTAGAACTGATGAGAGGTTTGCGAGAAGGAGACGCTCGTTCGTGAGCACTGACAGGTGGGCCCGCCAGGCCTGCCTGCGTGGGCCGGGCCGCCGGGCTGCATGCACGGGTCAGCTTGACGTTCCGGTGACATCACCGGCTTTTTTGAATTGCACGCGACCTGGGGCACCGCCCCCCTGCTCTGCTCCCACTGAGTGATCTGCTTCCGTAAATTTCTCCGGGGCTCACACGCACGCAGAACACCTGCACACACAACAGCGCCAGCACATTCAGGGCCGGACGGCGTCTGCACACTCCTGCGCCACCACCACCACTGCTCCTCCTCTATTATTTGCATCATGACATTTCACACCGTCTCTTTTCTAGTATAACCGCGAACGCTTCGCACCGTCTCTCTTTTAGAACCATTTCACACTGCCTGTTAACAGGAGTACTACTGTCTACTGTACTTACTATATATTTCCCTCGCAGAAAAGAAAAGACAATGGAAATCTCAGGTCCCCTCCTCGCTTCTTGTTTGACTATTTTCCTACCACGTGTTTGGTTTACCGAACACACATGCCGATGCCGCACGCTCGTTTTCTTTCCACCATTTTTTTTTTGCTTCAAAGGATCACTGTGCGGGTGCCCGCTACACTTGTTCGGAAACTTCATATGGTCGTCGCTATGGGCCGGGATCACCAGATCAGATCATGAGAGTAGTGGAAGGTCAACGGTGGGTGCTGAGGCAGACCCAGTTGACCCAAGGCCCCAAACCAATACTGGCTCACTGGTCGCTGCCTGCTTTCTTCTTCCTTACTACGAGTAGCATTTGGCAAATGGGACGTACATGAGCAAACGTGTACTTTGCTCCGGTGGACGTACATGAGCAAACATCTAACTACACATTTTCTTTCGGAATCTCATCTGAGAACACTTGATTACTGCCTGTTTACAAGAGGTCCGTACTGCTACAACTTAGGACAGTGTTATTTTATCTTGGATCCGCCGCCGCCCCACGATGAAATGATGCCCAGCAGCAGGCCAGCACCCACCAGCCACTTCCTCGCCATTCACAGCGAGCGCTCGCTCGCTCGCTCGCTCAGTCCCCCTTGTCTGTCTCCATGGATGGATCGATGGGCACCGACAGCGACACCACTTGCCCCTACCCCGCCTGCTTTGCCCTTGGCGCCTTGCCAATGGCCAATGCCGTCTACCCATGCGTGACGGCCGGACCGGCCCAGTGCCGGGCCCTCCATGATAGAAATGCCCATGCATGCATGTACGTACGTCGTCCTCTTCCCCCTCCCCCCACCCCCACGACAAGTACAACAGCAAGGTGGCGGATGCGCTGGCGAGCGGGCGCACGGAATGGATGTCTGATTTGTTGCAGCATCGCGCGGCTGGCGTGAGCCGGGAAAATGCCATGGCCTTTTCATGTGCAGTTCTGAGTTCTGGGGGAGGGACCAACCCGTGTGCGCCCCGCACCTGCGCCTGCTCCCTCGAAACGCCGCATTTTCATCTTGATCCGATTCCTCTTTTGCGCGGGGAGAATTTCGATCTGAAATTACGAGAAGGAAGAGCGAATTGATGCCCAACATTCTCCCTCTCGGTTTCATTGCTGCTCTTTTTGGCCGCTGCGCTTCTGCGTCTCCTCTACGAGTAATCAACCCGTGTTCAGAGTTAGGAGGAGTACACTTTTGATCATCATGTATCAGATCGAGATGTTTTACTGCAGTAGATGAAGGTGCCACTCATTCTGTTATTGCAGGCTCGAAGATTACACATCCAAATTAATTTAATAAATCCGGGCAGAAAGAATACATAGGAGGGCCTCTTTTAACTCCATCCAATCTCTCTCTCTGTAGATCGTGGATCGAATACTCGCAACAAATTCAGAAGAAGGAAGAAGAAGAGATGAAAAAGAAATCCAAGGTGGAAAAAAAATACTACGGGTGACGGCGGAGCGAGCGCGAGGTGAGGTATTATACTGGCGGCGATCGGCTGTTGGCGGCGGCTCCGGCGGTGGATCGGGAGGAATTAGTTGTACGGCTTCATTGGCGGCGGCGGCGACCCGTATGCCACGCCGTACACCGGCGGGAACGGCAGGTTCGCGCCGGCCGGCGTCGGGTGCCCGGTGCTGCCGCCCTGGGACGGCGGCGCGCAGTGCTCGGGCGTGGACGGCGTTGTTGCTCCCGACGACGGCGAGGACGGGGTGCCTGGGTGCGTCTCTGATGGAGGCGTGGTGGTGGCTGGTGTCCCCGGCGAGTGGGGAGGCAGCGCGTAGCCGGGGTACTCCGTGGGCGGCGACGGCGTCTGGTGGCTGCCGGAGGGCGTCGTGGGGCCGTACGAGCCCGGAGGCGGCGCGTACCGCCCGTCTGGCTTGTCGGCCGAGGTTGGGGGAGGCGGCGCGTGGCCTCCTACTGGCATCGGGGTGCCTGACGAAGGAGACGGGTACGACGGGGTCCCCGGCGTGCTCTGCGGCGGCGAGTGGGATGACGGGGTGCTGGAGCTGGACGGCGGCGTCGGGTACGATGGAGTGGTTGAGCCCTGCGGTGGTGATGGGGTGGTGGATCCCTGGGGCGGCGAGTGGTACGACGGGGTGCTGGAGCTCGACGGAGGCGTCGGGTACGACGGCGTGGTCGAGCCGGGTGGCGATGGCGTGGTGGATCCCTGG